ACTTTATTCTATGAGGTTACTACTGTGGTGAGTAACTCCTTAAATGAAAATTTTTGCAGAGTTCCGGATCTAGAAGAAATTCTCAACGCTATTAAGGGACCGAAGGCGTCTAGTTCTCCCGGCAATGACGGATTCACGGGGTATTTTTATATAGCATGTTGGGAAATTATTAATGATGAGCTGGCAAATTTTATTGTCAATTTCTTTCGCGGGGGTTATTAACTGAAGGAAATGTGTCTATCCACAATTGTATTGTTACCAAAAGTCGAGAATGCAAGGAGTATGAGCGATTTCAGACCCATTAGTTTGGGTAATTTCTCGGGAAAGATTGTTTCTAAAATTCTAGCGAACCGATTAGGCAAGATTCTTCCTTTTATTATCTCGGAGGAGCAAGCTGGATTTGTACAGGGAAGGGATATGACTACTCACATTGTTATGGCACAAGAGTTGACGTGAGATATTGATCGAAAGTGTTCGGATGGGAACATCATTATTAAACTGGATATGGCGAAGGCTTATGACCGATTGGAGTGGAGGTTTCTCTTGAAGGCCATGCGCTCGTTTGGTTTCTCCCAACATCTCTTATTCTTTTAACATCAACGGACTCCTGACCGGAAACCTCAAATCTTCTCGCGGGGTTCGGCAAGGCGATCCCCTCTCTCTTCTTTTATTTATCTTGGCACAACAAATTTTGACCATCTATCTTAATCGGAAAATGGTGACGAAACAAATTATTCCATTCAAGGTTGGTCGAAATGAAGTGGTGGTTTCTCATCTTTTGTATGCGGATGACATACTTATTTTCTTGAATGGAGGGCAACAATCTATGCAAGCTCTTATGGAGGTTTTAAAATCTTAAGAACGCTCTTCAGGGCAATTGGTGAATGCGTCTAAAAGCCACATGTATGTGATTAATCGGTGATAAATCGGAAATAAATCGGTTTTTAAAATTTAATATAATATATTTGTAGATATTATTTATAAATACTCAAAACATAGATAAAAAATATTTAACATAGTTATATCTCCATCATGTATATATTCTAATAACATACTAAAAGTTTAATAATAATAAGATCATAATACATAAATATCCTTATAAAATATAAATAAAAAGGCAATTTTTTTTTGAATTTACATACATTCTTGGCATACATCATTAGTTCTTTAACAATAATAATTAACATAAACAAAATAATACATAAACTCATTTTTTTTTATTAAAATCCCAACTTTTATTTTGATTTATAAAAAAAAAAAAAAAAAAAAACCGATTTTTGACCATTTTTTGCCGATTTTTGCCACCGAAGTTTGACCCGCCTTAAAGGTTTGACCGCCTCGGACCGCCTCGGACCGCCTCAGACCGCCTCAGACCGCCTCGGACCGCCTCAAACCGCCCCACAGGCAAAAAACCGATTTTTCAAACCTTTACACTAAAATCGTAAAGGTTTTGGACCGCCTCCGCCTCGGCGACCGATTAATCGGCCGCCTCGGCCGATTTTTAGAACACTGATAAATACCATCAATTTCTCACACCAAAAAACCACACACTACACAAATATAACTACAAATCCTCCATAATTCTACAAATTAAATACACTTCAATTTCATCCACAAAAAAATGGCGGCTCTAACATTCAAAGTAACGAGGCAAAACCCGGAGCTAATCCCTCCGGCTAAGCCGACGCCACACGAATTCAAATCACTCTCCGACATAGACGATCAAGAGGGACTCCGTTTCCAAATTCCGGTCATACAATTCTACCGGAATATTCCCTCCGTCCAAGCGGACCCCGTCAAGGTCATCCGTGCCGCCATATCCGAGGCCTTGGTTTTCTACTACCCGTTCGCCGGTCGGCTGAGGGAAGTTGCCGACCGGAAGCTGGTGGTGGAGTGCACCGGCGAGGGGGTTATGTTCATCGAGGCGGATGCTGACGTGGCGCTGCAGCAGTTCGGCGATGACCTTCAGCCGCCGTTCCCCTGCCTTGAGGAGCTGCTTTATGATGTACCTGGTTCTTCTGGAATTGTTAACTCCCCTCTATTGCTTATTCAGGTACAAATTTTGAAATTTTTTTGAATCCCCCCAATTTTTCCTATAATTAAATATTTCAAACTTGTGCTTCTAAATTAACTTTTCATTTATTTCCTTTTCCTTTTATCTATTTAAAAGTACTTCTTTTAATTTACTTATTCATCAAATATTTCAACAAAAATAAAAACAAAAAAAAAACAAAAAAAAAAAAAATTCAAAATTTTCGGGCCGACCCGGAACCGGCCCGAACCGGCGGATTATTGAATTAATTAAAAAATTATAAGGTAAGATTATTTTTTAGGAATATATTGATACAATTGTTATACTTATGCTAATATTAAAATTATATAAGCACTATATTAATATAATAACTAGATTAAAAAATTAAAATAAGATATCCAATGATCAAAATTCAAACCGTTTTCTATGTTTCAACAATTAAGAGCAAGTCGTCTGTAGGTCACGCGCTTGAGATGCGGCGGGTTCATCCTCGCCCTCCGCCTCAACCACACAATGAGCGACGCCTTCGGCCTCGTCCAGTTCATGACCGCCGTCGGCGAAATCGCCCGCGGCGCCAAATCCCCGTCGATCCCACCGGTGTGGGAGAGGCACCTCCTGAACGCACGCGCCCCGCCGCGCGTGACCTGCACGCACCGTGAGTACGACGAGGTGCCCGACACCAAAGGAACCATCATCCCACTCGACGACATGGTCCACCGCTCCTTCTTCTTCGGCGCCGCGGAGATCTCCGCCCTCCGCGGCCGTCTCCCGCCGCACCTCCGCCGCTGCTCCACATTCGAACTCCTCACCGCCTGCCTCTGGCGGTGCCGCACGATCGCCATCTCCCCGGAGCCGAACGAAGAGGTCCGGATGCTCTGCATCGTCAACTACCGGAGCCGGATCAACCCGCCGCTGCCGAAGGGCTACTACGGCAACGCCTTCGCATTCCCCGCCGCCGTCGCCGCCGCCGGAGATCTCTCCAGCAACCCGTTCGAGTACGCGCTGGAGCTCATAAGGAAGACGAAGTCCGACGTGACGGAGGAGTACATGAGGTCGCTGGCGGATCTGTTGGTGATCAGGGGGCGGCCACACTTCACGGTGGTTCGGAGTTACGTGGTTTCCGACCTGACCCGAGCCGGCATCGGAGATTTGGACTTTGGGTGGGGGAAGGCGGTGTCCGGAGGTCCGGCGAAGTGCGACGTAGGAGCTATACCTGGGGTTGCACTTGCGAGTTTCTACATACCGTTTAAAAATAAGAAGGGGGAGAACGGAATAGTGGTTCCGGTATGCTTGCCGGCGGACGCCATGGAAGTGTTCGTGAAGGAGCTTGAGATGATGGTGAGTAGAGAAGATGACGACAACTCGGGCCGAATCCCAGTCTTCGTTGCTTCAGCACTGTGAATTATTTATAATGTGGTTGTACGTTTTGCATTATATTTTCTACCTTGTTTCGTGATTATAGTTTGTTTATACTCCTCTGTTCCAACGTTTCATAATAAATGTTTCATAATAAATGTCGTTTTTTAAAACTATTTTGTTCAAAATTTGTCTATCACTTTAGATTATTAATACTGTATTAACTTTTTTTTTTTTTAACTTTAGAATTCAATTTTAAGTATTAACTATATTATCATATTATTAAATCATTAATGTTATTTTACTATTTTTAATGTGTTTTTTCCTAAATACAAGAACATTTATTGAAATTTTTAAAACTGTTAGAATTTATTTCGTGCAGATATAAATTATTTGTGTCAGATTCAGTTTTTCGTTACTGTTGCGTGAAGTGTTGCAACAGTTCGTGAAACAGTTCGTAAAAACAGAAATAAACGAGACACAAATTTTAATGTGGTTCGGATACAATTGTACCCTACATCCACGGGGACCTGCAAATAAAATTTACTAATTTTTAGTTTTACGAATACAATAATAGGACTTAATCAAAATACAAAGACTCCCTCTTTGTTGACGCCGTTCTTGTATACTACGCTGAATTATAAATCTTCAATTTGCAGCACGTCCCTTGCTCCGCACGGTTGAACTCCCTTCAACGCTGAATCCCTCAGTCGGCGGATCGATCTCCTCCCGAGATCAGTTTAAGCCCCTCTCCCGAAGAACCGATCTTCTTTTTGTATAGAAGAAGCAAACTTGTGATACTCCTTGAATCTTGGTGTCTTCACCACAAAGCCTTGAAGCCGATATATTTTCTATGAAAATCACGTATCACGATGGAACAATAAAAAACGAGAGGAAAAATATTTTCTGTGAAAAACTTCTCTCGATCAAAGACGTTCCGGGAGCAGCAAAAATAAGAGCAGAAAAAATATAATTTTTCTTCTCCAACAAAAGGTACAGACATAAAAAAACGTTGATACTCCTGTATTTATATTCCTGAATAGAAGAGCCCTACAAAATTGGAGCCCATTAGGTTAGTGAGAATCTTACGTGAGGAAACAAAATTGTGTAGTAAGGAAAGTCTTTGTCCAAGAAATTCCTTGCTAACATATGACTTATATAATTAAATAAATTAATGACAAAATAAGAGTTTAAAGCATTAAAGAAACTTCCCTAGCTTTACATACGCGTTTTTCACACGTGTTGAAAAACCAAAATTAGAATCCTCTCGGATTCTAACAATCTCCCCCTTTGTCATCTATTTATTATAATCAAGTCCTCCCCCTTCGTCAAATACCTGTAAATAAAACAATTAGATGATAGACGTAAGCAATAAAACTAAGGATCATCCTCAGCATTAAAGGAACCGCTAATCATCATCATCTCTTTCAGCAACAAGAGTGACATCAACTGCTGCAATAGTAAGTGCCACAGTTTCAGCAACTGTTCCAGCAGTAGTGGCTT